TAGTCGTTGTCGTTGCAGTAGTTAGTCGGTCGTCCGCCGTCGACGTCGTCTCGTTGTCGTCGGCGGCAACAACGACAACAACAACAAGACCAAGACGAAAAATCTCAAACAGACAAAGGGAAGGAAGAAAGGGCTAAACTAAACAGAGTATGTCCCTCGCGCTCCGAAATCGCTCGCCCGCCCGCGCCTGCCCCAGCCGGGGCTGTCTACTTGCGCAACCAACGGTAACGGCAGCCGCAACCGCATCTAAATCACCCACTTCTTTCCCTTCTGTGGTACGGTACCAGAAAACCGTAACTGCACATCACATCACATCGGGCAAGAAGGGCCAACCTCTCTCCTTCTCTCTTTCCCCCCCTTCTAGGTATACAAATCACATCCCTGCTTTTTCATCTTCCCGGAACCCATCACACTCGTTTTTTGGTTCTCGTCGTCTCAACTGCTACTAAACATACACATCGGGGAAGGGCGTTTGTTTAACCCAATCCCAATTGACCCGACCTCTCTTTTCTCCTGCATCTTTACTGCTACATCTCGGCGAAGGGGGGGGCATGCAGTCTGTCGTCACGGAACACAACTCAGTTACGCCCGGCCGGGGAGCACCTTGATCCCTCCACACCGACAATCACGTCCACCCATCATCTTCGCCGCCTTGCCTGACTGCTATCTGTCTGTCTGTCTATCGGCGTCTGTCAACATCCCACTGTCGTCTGTGTGCATCGCGTCTACGCATACGCCACACCACACCACACCACACCACACCACACACTCTCTTCGCCTCTTGCCTCACGATAATAAACCTTGTTGGAAATCTCGGGCTCGAGGCCTTGAAGTGGGAACTTGCTCTCTCGGATATCTCGGTCCCCTCGGCGGTTTTCCCCACCCGCTGCGTCTATTTTCTCAACAAACCCATTCGTCCGTTTCTGCGCTTGTCTCTCTCTCTCTCTCTCTCTGGTGGGTGTGGGTGTTTGCGAGAGTGCGTGCAAGTAAGAGAGAGGTCCTCTTTTCTCTCTAACCCCATTACCCAGAGGGGTCGCACCCGATTTGTCCTTTTTCAGAAAAGCGGCGGCGTGCATCACACAACGAACCTACTCCACGACGTCGCAGCAGCAGCGACAGCACACAACCAGCAGAAACGTCTTGAGAAAAAGAAAGCCTTCTCGCATCTCATCAAGACCGCTTGTCCTCACCTCACAGGCGCGCTCTCCCCAACCGTCACAATCAGCCCTGCTCCTTCTCCATCCAAACCTGCACATAACCTTTCTTCCCTCGTTGCCGCCAGTACGGCTTGGTTGGTTTCTTCTTGCTTTTCTTGCTGGGCCTTCTCAATCGGCCTCGTCTTTCGTTTTTTTTTCCCCATCAGATCTCTATTCCTTATTGCAACGTGAAGCAAACTAATCATCCCCCCGTCCCCTCTTTTTTTCTCATACGTACGGTTCCGTACTCGTTCCGTACGCCTGCCTGCCTGCTTGCCTCCTACCACGAACGGGCGAGCCGAGAGACATTCCAAGGGGAAACCCCCCCTCCCCCCCCCCGAATAAAAGTGACAGGAACCAGAGGCCCTTGCTGTTACCCGGCGATTCCCTGAACGTCTCGTCATTTCCTCGCTCGCTCTTCTCGACTCGTCACATCGGCACCTTGCTTCTTTCTGCTGCTTGCCTCTTGGAGGTCTTGTTCCTGCACCGTACTCTCTCATCGTCTGGGTCGTTTCCCCGCTGCCCACCTTAATCGGCACAGTGCCTGGCATCCAGCTCGCCATCGGTCACGAACGCACGCACATACACAGGGTGCGATATAGAGATATAGATTAGGCATTCCGCTCCCACTTACGGAACTGTGCTTGTGCGCCTGCAGCTCATCTCTCAACTCAGTCCCCAATCGACTCCAAGTCCGGCTCGCCCAATACTAGGCCGCCAACCACGCTATATCAGACCCCATCCAACTCCATCGGCAACCAACCCTCTCGCTCGTTAAGTCCAGTCAACCCAACCCAAAACATATAATATATATTTATATCGAGGTCATTCCGTTTCGAACGCCCGTCGACCTGACGCACAGAACGCCCATACTACCTGTACCCCCGTCCCGGCGATCTCCCACGCCCGCAGCGCCATCCACCATTTAGCCCTGGCGTGTGGCCTCTGCCTTCTCGGTTGATCTAATCAATTTCTGTAGCAAAACCAGCTCTGCCAGCGCTCGAGCGTTTTCCACCCCCGGGGCCGAAGCCGAACAAGCACGACGGTTACGGTACATGCCAAAAGTCACTCATCCTCTTCCTTACCCTTGCCCTGTTCTCTCACTCACTCTCCCACTCGCTCCCACCTCCTACACCCCCCCCCTCCTCTCTCTCTCCCAAGGTACCCTGGCCTTGCTGCCCGCACTCCTCTGCTCCTCTCTCTCACTCTCTCTCTCTCTCACTTTCTCTTCCCCCCCCCTACCCGTCTTACCCTATACGGGCAGTCACAACAGGGAAGTCGCACTTCCGACTCGCGCTTTCGCCGTAGTGAACCACAAAGGGCTCCGCCCCTTCATTGGGAGAAATAGGCAGATATTAACCTGACGAACTGTGATCAGCTAACCTTGCTAGACATAACGCACAATATCCCCTACGCACGGTGCATCGGAACAC